TCTACTGCTGCCAGGTAGCGCGTTTTCAAGAGAATTCTCGTGCAGTCTCGGAAATTCCCGCAGCTACCGTAGTATATATAGTTTGTACATTACACAATGGACATAAGTCAGTTAATTAATGCTACACAACATTTTGTTATAAAAATGTTGAGCCTATATTAACGTTACTAAGATTATTCTAGGGAAAAAAATCTTTTGAACGAGTAGGTAGCATATTGTGCATTAATTACCGGTAACAAGGTGCACATGAAAGTAGTTATAATACACGCATGCACGTATCTATCGACAAGAGGTACCTACTCAAGACTGTAAGCACTCAGTACATGAACAAGGCAATTGGCTCTAATGGCTTTCTTGATTAATCTTGTGAAAGTGTGTATCGGACAAAACTCAGGCGGAGTTTTGTCCGATATTGACAAGCCATAATATTGTCTTTACCTGATTTGGATTATAGTTTTCGGACGGTTAATTACAATTTTTTCTTTCAGATATACATGTAAATTAAAATTAATTAGTTTTTTTTTAATTTTAATAAAGATGGAATTATATCGAGTTGTTTTAATTTTTGCATACATAAATACTGCGCACAGTCATAATATATTGAAACAAGATGGATTATATGCATTGGACATAGTACATTATAATGATTTTCATGCGAGGTAAGTAATGTTTTACTTTTTATTCACAACGACCTGTTTATAAGAGGAATGGTAACCTCTTTAAACGACTCCAATGAAAAAGGTTCTCAATTCGATTGTATTTTTCTTTGTGTATTTGTTACGCGACTACCCCAACATTTGTGAACCGATATGGATTGTTCTTTCTTTGTTGGAAAGGGGGTACCTTGGTAATGGTCCCGTTCAAATTTAAAGAAAATATTCCACCGCCAAGGGCCGCAAATTACAAGATGAATCCGGTTTATTGGATTTTATCCACTTTCCGTTAACTGATTTGAATAAAACTTGCCAAATACATCTAACGAACACTGCGAAAGCGGATAAGCAAACTTTTGAGGTCGGTTTTTTCCTCTATTCTCACTAGTTCAGTAGGCCAGTTCAGTTGACTGACCTAGCGCGACTCTTTTTCCCATTTGTTCAGTTAACTGAACTGATGTAGTTTAGGAGTTTTTATGGTCGCCTGCTGTCTCCATTATCAATCCAGCTTGATGGTACCATAACATTGCATTGTCACCGAACATAAGTATGGCAAAATCCGAGTCAATCCGACCGATAGAAATGGATGACAACTGGGTGAAACTTAACTAAAAATAAATAAAAAAATTGAGACCGGATCAACTAGCTAGAAATACTTTATAGTTCAATTATATAAATAAATAAATATCTACTTTATAAATACTTTATAATCAACTAACTGGACTGGATAACAGAACTCGTGTAGAGAGAGGATGGACAACTGCACTAGTGGGAATAGAGGAAATAAAAAATGTCTACTAAACCAGGGGCAAAGGCTTGTTTTATTTTCAATTGAACAAGCAACAACAAAATTTTTTTTTCTCGTTTGTTCAGTTGACTGACCTAGCGAGACTCTTTTTCCCATTGGTTCAGTCAACTGAACTAGTGGGAATAGAGAGTTTTAAAGTATTAACTATTGAAACAGAACTTGTGTATTTAATGGTATATATACATTTATAAATAATCATAGTTAAAATTAGAAACACCACGGTAAACTCAATAGGTGTTATGCGTAAGCCATATTTTGTTAAAAAGAAAACAATAATAACAATAATTTGAAGAGTTCGTCCAGGGTAGTACTGCCACCTTACCTATTTCTGCCGCCATGCAATAATGTCACCATTACTGTGTTCCGGTTTTGAAGGGTAAGTGTGCTGGTGAAATTACAGGCTCATGGGACTAGTCAACTTATGTCTCAGGGTGACGGGCGCAGTGGCAGTGCCCCACAGGCCTTTGCAATTTAAAGCTCTGAGTGGCACTGTGACTCATATAGACAGGCGTATAGCTTACCATCAGGCGCACGATTGTTCGTCCCGCCACTTGATATTATAAACAAAAGCTAACCACGTTTCCCCCTGTCCGCTTTAGTCCTGCTTCGACCGGAGGACGTGGGGGTTGTGTCGTTTGGGCTTACACACGGCTATAGAAACTTATGCCAAACGCACACATACACGGACATTACCCAAATTGGTTCTACCGGAATCCAACAGATTTTATTATCTAGCGCCCGCAGTTCTCACCGCTGTGCCATCGAAGTCGTCATTATTTTTGCTTTTACATCCAAACGGATATTATAAATGCGAAAGTAACTATGTTACGTCTTCACGCGTAGACAGCTGAAACAATTTTGAAAAACTTGCATTTGATTCTCTATATCAATTTGAAAAATTTATATAAAGATAGATGGGACCTAGGAGAAGGATATAAGCTATTATTTGTCACAAAAATAAATCTTAAAGGGGATGAAGTAGGAAATGAAAGTCTATATAGAGAATCGATCATTTCTCCAGTAAGTAGTACAATAGGCTACTCGAACTACCCATTCTACGCAGGCGAAGTCGCTTCTTATTCCTTTTGTATCGTTTCTCGTTTAAATATTTTAATAATTGATTCATTTTTGTGACTAAAAGTAGTCTATATACATGTCTTATGTGTGATAGATAGGACAGAGAACTTAGGTCCCATCTATCTCTGTACCAAAATTCATCAATATTGGTTCAACGGTTTAGGTTTGAAAACACGAGAGTTATTTTCGCATTTGTAATATTAGTTTAGTTTTAGGTGACATGGATGTGATTGGTTAATTTTTTGTTTGATTTATGTAAGAATTCTCCAAGATTCCAAAATTCTTTCATTTTTCTTCTTAGTCGTTATCACCATTGCTGAAAGTCGTCTCCCCGAAAGGTTTTCGAGACTTTATGGACGATTTTCTTCCATCTGGTTCTGTCTTCGGCCTCTCTCGTAGTTGTTGTAGGGACGCCAGTGAGGGCAGTCACTAGGTCACTCCATCGGCTAGGTGATCGACCGCGGAGTCTTTCTTTCCATCTTACCCACCACAACCAGTTCGTCAAAGTTGTCTGGTTGTCGGCTAGCAATATGACCAACGCTGTAGGATTCTTTAATTTCTATGTCCATTGAAAAACGTTGGGCAAAGTACAAAGTAGGTTAGGTAATTTTTTGTTAAAGTTGTTGAAAGTATTTGTTTTCGTAAGAACAACTGCATCCAATATTCCAAAGATATAACGCTCTGTATATAAGGTAAAACATTATCGAAATATAATAATTTCAATGTATATTTACTTATACGTACAATTTCATTGCCACCTTTCATATCATCTCAGCTTTATCTCGTTCCATTTTCACTTACCGCGTTGAATTTTAGATACCTATAAGATGTCACGAAAAAGGTGTAAGGTCAGCATCCTTTAGGATAGTCCGGCTTTTCAAAATCTGTTTTCATTACGTGACAAAATGTACGCAAGGCAATTTTAGTCCCATAAGTATTTTGTACATGTATTAGAGAAAAATAATGTTGTTATTTTATTACTAAGTTGTGTAGTGTATGTGTCATAGTTACATATATATGGTGTACCTTTTCTATTAAATGCTGTTTCTCACAACGATTAAGCAATAATATCATAGGATTAAACAATAAATAATAAAACAAACAAAATAAGACGCCATTTTGATTTGAGTACTTAAATTGTTTTCATCTTTAGTATTGTTTAATCTTACTTATGATGGTGAAATTAGAGCCACATGACACTTGTCATCTTATGTCTCAGGGTTACCGGTACAGTGACATTATCCTTTAGATTTTTGCGATTTAAAACTCAGAGCGACAGTGAAACTGCTATGGACAGGCGTCTCGCTTAATACCAGGCGCACGACATGTCCGTTCCATCACTAGGCATGTAACATAAAAAAAATCTACGGTCGCTAACTGTAATATTGTTTCTGCCCAAAATAGTTCAGTGTCATACGTTCCCACGGAAAAAAAAAAAAAAATGGAAGTGCCTTAAGCCTCGATTACTATCAGAACCGATGTCGCCAGAACTCACACATTCTTAATTTGAAATTTAAATTTAAAAAGAAATAAATTCTGGATTATTAATATAAATTAAACTTTACCCTGTTGGCATATCGTTGAAAGACAATACGACGTTTTGATATTATGTTTCAATCAATGTGCTGCCATCTAGCGGTTAATTGCTGAACGACAACGAATTGGAGTTGTTAATTTAGTTTTCTAAAAAAGAAGCGACCATATTGCAGGAGTTTTACTGTCGTTTCTTGTAAAAAAAATCCGATGATATTTTTTTACCCACCACGGGTAATATTTTTAGTGTAGCTATCATTTTTGCTCTCCAAAACAGCACAATAAGGCATTTTTCTAGGATTTTAGAGAATTTGCACAAAATAATGACATAACAAAGCGAAAATGACTGAGCTCAAGTAGGACTTTCGAGACCTATAGTTGGCATGCGTTAGACGCTAACTAATCACTCTACTGTATTTATTGTTCTGTGTGCGTTACCAACGTGATAACATCTTTTTATTATACCCATATTTTAATTATCTACTATAACGTCATTATATCACTACCTCATCAATTGTGTGTCTATAAAATGTAAGATTATGACTAAACTGTTGGCGTAGAAAAAAGAGAAGTTATATAATGTGGAACGAGTTTTAGGTATTTTAAAAAATAATACCGCGTGGTGCAGTGTTCCGCTTATTTCTCCCGTGAAATCGAGTATATAGTTTAAACCATGAAAATAAGTAATTAAACTATGAAAATTAGTATAGTGGGTTAGTCGAAGTACTTCTACTAATTCGATGAAGTTGCGGGAAATAGCTAGTTAAATTATACTTAAATAAAATATATTATTATTATCATTATTAACTACTGATTTTATGTGGAATTGTAAGACTACACAGCGGCACTGAAATGAGACGCGATAAATAAGACAAGACATTCAGTTGCATGCGATCATTCAAGGTGTTACATCGCTTTGGGGCCGTAGCAGAATCATCATCAATCATTTCATAACCGATAGTTGTTAATTGTAAGTTATGCAAACGAGTGAATTATAAAAAAAAGTATAACGTGCCGAAAAAAATCTAATTCAAATTCGTTGTTGGTGATTATGGAAGTGACAGTGTTTTTGTTTTTTGCGTATTTAACTGGGGTACACAGTTTCGCGTTGCCCTTTGAAGGACTTTATGGACTGGATATTATACACTATAATGATTTTCATGCAAGGTGAGACCTTTATTGTTTTCATAACTAAATATTTAACTGAGAAATAAATCAAAAGGAATAAGAATTTTCAGAAAATTACAAAATTACGTGTAAATAAGAATTACCTGTTTTTCAGTAATAGGCAAAAACACGCTTGTTCCCTAGGCATTTTTGGTGTGTGTACTTACTTGAGAAGTGATTGGTTCTTTATACAAACTTTCGTCCTCTATTTCACCCCTTTCAAGATTTATTTTTTTGACAAAATGTAGCCTATATCTTTCTCCCAGGTCCCATCTCTGTACTAAAATTCATCAATATTGGTTCAACGGTTTAGGTTTGAAAACACAGAGTTATTTTCGCATTTATAATATTAGTTTAGTTTTAGGTGATATGGATGTGATTGGTAAATTTTTTGTTTGATTTATGTAAGAGGGTGATGCCAAAATTCTTTAATTTTTCTTCTTCTTAGCCGTTATCTTTATTGCTGCATGAAAGTCCTGTCCCGAAAGGTTTTCGAGACTTTATGGACTATTTTATTCCACCTGGTTCTGTCTTCGGCCGCCCTCAGGGTAGTTGTTGCAGGACGCCAGTGAAGGCAGTCACTTGGTCACTCCATCGGTTAGATGATCGACCGCGGAGTCTCTTTTTTCCACCTTACCCACCACAACCAGTTTGTCAAGGTTGTCTGGTTGTCGGTTGAGCTATGTGACCAAAATACTATAGGATTTTTTTATTTTTATCCCCATTGAAATACGTTGGGCAGAGTACTATTGGGTTCGTCATTTTTTTTAAAGCTGTTGAAAGTATTTGTTCTTGCAAGTACAACTGCCTTCAAAATTCCAAAGGTAACGCTCTGTATATGAGGTAAAACATTATTGAAGTGTTATAGTTTTAATGTACATTTATTTATACGTTTATTTTTATAATACCAGTTGTCGGGACGAACAAGTCGTGCTCCTGATGGTATGCTACACGCCTGTATGTAACAGTTGCAGACGTGTAGTGCCACCCAGAGCTTTAAATTGTAAAGATCTGAGGGGCACTGCCACTGCGTCCGTCATCCTGAGACATGAGCTGACAAGCCCCATATGCCTGTAATTAACCAGCACCCTTATCCTTCACAATCGGAACACAGTACCTAATGCTGACATGCTTGGCGGCAGAAATAGGTAAGGTGGCAGTACTTACCTGGACGAACTCTATCACAAGGAGCTCTACTGCCGTTACGTACAAGGAGCACTACTGTCACATTTCATATCATCTCAGCTTTATCTCGTTCCATTTTCACTTATCGCGCTGAATGTTAGATACCTTCAAGATGTCACGAAAAAGGTGTAGTACTTTAGGATAGTCCGGCTTTTCAATACTTATTGGTTATGCAAGGCTGCAAAGTTGTTGTTTGACGCGAGTGAAGGAAGCTAATATTGAACCACAAGCGACGCGAGTGGTTCAAAATAGATCCCTGAGCGTAGCTAGGGTTTTGAGACACGAGACGCAAAACAACTTTGCTGCTGAGCGAAACACACCAGTTTTCACCTCACTATAGCGAGGAAAACGGTAGATGAAAGAAAAACAGTTGAACTATAAAATATTAGTTTTAAAAGAAAAAGATTATATTCGGATGCGTTCTGAATTTACACCTCATCAATTTTTATTCTTGCTTGTACTTTTATTTTGTATGATTAAGTGATTATTGAAATTATTTTAGTTCTTCGACAAATTAAAATAATTGAATAAACACAATTAGTTATCATTGTCAATTTAATGTCGACAATAATAAGAATAAAATATATCTACCAACGGATTTGCAATACATAAATAAGTTAAATACGACAAATCCCGTAGTTGAATGTGTCTTTATCTTTTTTTTCATCGAAAGAAAAAGTAGGTGCACCACAGTCTATCGTCAAGTTAGAATTTCAGAAACCTTTTCCAGAAATCTTTTTTTTTGCTAGCGTGCAAAAAACGCTTTTGCGCGCAGATTTCTAATAAGAAAGAATGCCTTTCCGAGCTAGTGAAAAATCTATTACTTACAACACTCATACAAATCTGTTTAAGTTTAAGAGTGTATAGCAAAACCGTGATAATGTTTTTGTAATTATTAAATAAATTAAAATAAAATTACCATTATGAGACAAAATGTTAGGAAGACAATTTTTGTCCCGTAAGTACTTTGTATATGTATTAGAGAAAAATAATGTCGTTATTTTATTACTAAGTTGTAAGGTGTATGTGCCATAGTCAGATAGATATGGTTATACCTTTTGTATCAAAAATGCTATTCCTAACATTTCTATGACTAAGTAATAATATTACTTAATACGCGCGTCGCCAGGCGTTGTAGTTGAAAAACAGGACGTGACCCGACGCTTCGACGTTGCGCCAGTGTGAGTTGAGCCTAACAATTGCAGAGCCACTCAGAGCTTTAATCACAAAGATCTGAGGGGCACTGCCACTGCGCCTGACACCCTGAGACATAAGTTGACAAGTCCCATGTGCCTGTAATTTCACCAGCACCCTTACCCTTCTAAATCGGAACGCAGTAATGTTAACATTACTGCTAGGCGGCAGAAATAGGTAAGGTGGCAGTACTTCCCTGGACGAACTCTTTCACAAGGAGCTCTACTGCTGCTAAAAACTTATTGCTCCCTCTTAGTAGGTCCACTGAAGCCTCTCTACGAATGTCATATTAAGTGTATGGAGCGCTTAACTCAATTGCGTCTAATTTTGATTCCTTTACCAGTTTTAATACCGATTTGTAATAGCTACTACTAATCATGGGCATATATATGAATAGGTATGTATGGGGGCGTTTACGTAAAAATTTTGGATGTTTCTAGTTTTATTAAAAAAAATTATTGTTGTCGTTAATTACTTCATCCGTCTTCGTCAAAAAGTAGTTTCTGAGATTGCATATCTCGCGGTTGTGTACGGTTTTGACATTTAATAGGCCCTACCTCTACACTTTCGTGGGACATACAATCTCATAACCAACGATCTCGGATGATGCATTCGGTGAGAGGTTGTCACATGTGATAAAGGGTTAACTCCCTTATCGTTGGCCAAAGAGGAATGGCGAGACCCGGTAGTGCTTAGCACCTCTGACCGCGAGTCCGTATGGCAAGAGAAGGAGCTCCATGGGAGGTTCGTCAAAGTTTACGGTACCTTGAAGAGCCTCCCTACATTGGCTGCGTTTCGGGGACCTCTTTGGGGATACCGAAGGTTTTGTCTGTGCAATACAGGAAAAGGTTATCAAGCCGCGGAACTATAGAAAATATATCCTAAAGGAACGTACAGTAGACATTTGTCGGGCAGTGGCCGTCCCGGAGATTCTGCTCTTGCTAACACTGAATACTTGCACAGACACAACCAGGCAGCCAAAATATTATACCAAGAGCTCGCTCTGAAGTACGGACTCTTGCAACAGAGGTTGCCATATTATAGGTATTCACCGAAGCCAGTACTCGAAGATGAACGCACCAAAATCAATTGGGATCGATCCATTATCATGGACAGGACTGTTCTTGCGAATAAGCCTGATATTGTGATGTTGGATCGATCGGAGACGAGGGTATTTCTTGTGGACGTTACCATCCCGCAAGACGTAAAAGCCGAAACCGAGAAACGCCGGAAGTATCTCGACCTGGCGCACGAGATCACGACAAGTGGGATGTGGCTTCCACTGAAATAATTCCAATTATTTGTCCGCAAATGGGTTAATCCCAGTCAGCCTTTCCAACAGCTTGAGGCGGTTGGATTTCTGTGGCGTGTCGCTGCCACCACAAATGTAGAATTCGGTCCTGCTCGATACGGCACATATTGTTCGCCGGTTCTTGAACCTGAGTAGGTTCAAGAACCCTGACCCCGGCCGAATGTGCTATTGCCGGGAAATACCGCCTCTCCCACTTAAAAATTCAAAATTAATTATTTAGGTTTTTAGAGTCTGAAATAGATATAATCATTGACCTATTAGCCACACACTAGGATAACGAAGGACACACACACACACAGTCAACCAAAAATTACATTTTGGTTGCGTCTATTATGTAGTTATATTATTAAAAAATTATATTATTTACATAATGATAGGCGAGTCACCGAACTAAGTAATATTACCTCTTGTTTATTAATTCAGTTGGATACCTACTTACGCGGTAAAAAGTATTCGAAGATCTCTAAAAATAATAATTGGGACAATGAATTGAAGAATTATCGGCGTTGGGAACTACCAGGACATTTCTCCAAAGCCGCAATTTTCTGTGTCCATGCACTAAACTTCACTTACTTATCGAAACAAAAATCTACAAAAAATAGAGTGTATAATATAAGGGCGAAAGCTAACTGGAGAGAACAAAATCTTCCCAATAAACCTTTCGGACCTAATGAAAAAAAATTCCGAAATGCCTAAAACCTGACAACGGTGGCGTGTCCTGAATGCAGAATTCAACACAAAGTGTCATTTTTCTTAAAATTGAAACCATATATCTATACTAGACTTTAGTTCACGTATAATAAATTAGATGATAGTACTTATAATCTGAATTTCACAAGAAACTAAACAATAGTTTATTAATCATTAATCAATAATATTACAATACCAAGATTGGTGCGTGTCCCAGGCTTAGGCGGGAATTCGGTGGTCGTTAATAATTACGCTACACATCACAAGTGAAGCATTTTAGAAGTTTGATCTCGTTCATTTGATGCTTCTTGCCAAAAGATAAAATATGTCCGATATAAACGCATTGATCGACAATCTCCAACATCTCACTTCCAACTGTGACTCTTGAATTTGTGACGTTGGAGATGTTCGCCACAACCTTAGTCTTGGACTTTTTCATCTTGAGGCCCACCCAAATAGAAGCATCATGCAGTTGTTGCAGCATACGCTGGAGATCGTTAATGTTTTCAGCGAAGAGTACTAGGTCGTCTGCAAACCGTAAGTGGGACAGGAACACTCCATTGATGTTAACGCCACATTTAGTCCAATCAAGTGTTTTCACTACGTCTTCTAGGACAGC